ACATTTTATTCAATTAGAAATGATAAATAATGGAGTGAGTGTGGTGTTCAATCCTTTTTAAAAAGATAGTTCCTACTCACAGTAAGTTGTTTAGCGACGATCCGGATTTCGAGCCTTTTAGCTCATCATCAGGTTGAAGGACTTCTACAACCACGTCTCTCGACATGAATTGCCAAAGTGAACCCACTGATACCTCCGCCAACGCGACGTTCCAATTAGCAGCTGATTTTTTTAATGGCGCTCCGTTATTTGCCATACGTTGGTGAATTATCGGAAAAAGTTAGTCAAATTTTTAAACAAGAAGGTTTTAGAATAGCTTTTAGAAGTACGGGTTCACTTAAAAACATCATCTCAAAATCTAAAGACAAAGTAGACAACTTGGCAAAAAGCGGGGTTTACCAACTCAATTGTAATGATTGTGATAATAAATATATAGGACAAAGCGGTAGAGAAATAAAAACAAGAGTAAAAGAACACTTGCCTAAATCGAGCAAATTTTCGGAATTTAAGGACCATCTAAAAGAAACAAAACATAATTTCAATTCAAATTTAAATACAAGAGTGTTACATAGTTTCAACAAAGGGAAAGAACTAGATTGGTTTGAGAAATTTGAAATTAAAAAATGTAAAATTGAACATGGTGATAAATGCATTAATAATATAACAGATTTTGATCTACCTCCCATTTCAAATATGTACATAAATAATATCAAACATCCAAATAATTAAACTAATTTATTTTAATTGTTATTATTTTTATAGTAATTTAACAATATTAAGTATTTTCTAGTATAATATTTATTTGTGTTATAATTTCCGCGTTCCGCACGTTCAAATTGAGCGCTGGTAAAAAAATCAGCTGCTAATTGGAACGTCGCGTTAAGGAGGTATCAGCGGGTTCACTTTGGCAATTCATGTCGAGAGACGTGGTTGTAGAAGTCCTTCAACCTGATGATGAGCTAAAAGGCTCGTAATCCGGATCGTTGCAAAACAACTTACTGTGAGTAGGAACTATCTTTCTAAAAAAGGATTTAATATTTCTGATATCGTTCAATATAGTTTACATTAAAATAAGTATGCTGTAATTGATATGTCGATAAAAATAGATATAGTTAGAAATAAACAACAAAATACGAGTGTTATTGTGAGTTATTTTGCCTTTGAGTATATAAATTAGGTCTTTTTTGAAGATTTACTCCAATCTTATTAAACGAGTCCTCGAATATCAAATCTTTACACAATTTCAGATAATACCATATATTACAATGTTGCTTTTTTAGAAGGATTTGTTTCCAGAAGACACTTCTCATGGCAGACCTTGGGACGTTGAAAACCCTTGACCGGAGGACCAATTGCTAATAAATATTATACAATCATGTACATGAGCAATGGAGGTGAAGGACGTGCGTTACGCCTTTATGCATTGGTTAAAAGGTTCGGATGAGAAATTTAAATAAGTTTGTATTTGACAAATTTAAATTTAAAACAGGGTTAAGAAAAAGTTATTGTACGATACGGTTCTAAGGCTAGTGTAAAATTCCACGGTTTCCTTTAAAATTCAACCTGAGCACGCTGATTGCCTTGAATCTGTAATGAGTCCGGTCGCCAAATTAAAAGCTCGTTTTAATAATCAATAATTGATTGATTCGCCGAGCGATCGTCAGGTTCAATTTAAAAAAGAAAAAATGAAATTGAACTTCAGCTTCGTAGCAGGGGTTGTGTAAGTTCACTGCTTTCCCATTTAGACTAACGATATATTTATCCATTTGTTTTAGACTTTTCCTCCTTTACTCTCTTCCTCTTTCTCTATACACATCTTATACTTTATTTTTCTCTCTCTTGTACCTAACCTGTCTATTTAATTACTTACGCTCTGTATGTATTTCTCTCATTTCTCCATCTTTTTTCCTACGTTTTTCTTTCTCATTTATTAATGTAAATATTTTTCTATCCACCTATTCAACTATCTAACTGATCCCTCCACCTCTCTCTCACTTCCTCTCTCTCTGAATGGCTTTACTTTATCATTTCCTCTCTTTATACCTAACCTGTCTATTTAACTACTTACGACAATATTTGTCTTTTTACCTCTGTCTCTCATTTCTCTTTCTCTCTACCTACGTTTACTTTATCATTTATTTATATACATATTTATTTACCTATATCTGCTTATATCAATCTCAATCTATCTCCATATTTTTGTACCCATTTATTTAACTATCTAGCCCAATCTCTCTCTCTCTCTCTCTCTCTCTCTCTCTCTCTCTCTCTCTCTCTCTCTCTCTCTCTCTCTCTATCTATCTATCTATCTATCTATCTATCTATCTATCTATCTATCTATTTGTCTATCTATCTCTCTCTCTCTCTCTCCTTATCTATCTTCCACACTACCTATTCTTTTAACATTAATTTATCAACATAACTTTCACACTCTCTCTCCCTCACTCTCTCTCTCTCTCTCTCTCTCTCTCCCTCANTAACTTTCACACACTCTCTCTCTCTATATATATATATATATATATATATATCTATCTATCTTTCTAACTATTTGTCTATCTATCTCTCTCTCTCCTTATCTATCTTCCACACTACCTATTCTTTTAACATTAATTTATCAACATAACTTTCACACTCTCTCTCTCTCTCTCTATTTATGTATCTATCTATCTATCTATTTATGTATCTATCTATCTTTCTATCTATTTGTCTATCTCTCTCTCTCTCTCTCCTTATCTATCTTCCACACTACCTCTTCTTTTAACATTAATTTATCAACATAACTTTCACACTTTCTCACTCTCTCTCTCTCTCTCTCTCTCTCTCTCTCTCTACCTATCTATCTATCTATCTATCTATCTATCTATCTATCTATCTATCTCTCTCCTTATCTATCTTCCACACTACCACTTCTTTTAACATTAGTTTATCAACATAACTTTCACACTCTCTCTCACTCTCTCTCTCTATTTATCTATCTATCTGTCTGTCTATCTATATATCTATCTATTTGTCTATCTATCTATCTCTCTCTCTATTTATGTATCTATCTATCTATCTATTTATGTATCTATCTATCTTTCTATCTATTTGTCTATCTATCTCTCTCTCTCTCCTTATCTATCTTCCACACTACCTCTTCTTTTAACATTAATTTATCAACATAACTTTCACACTCTCTCTCTCTCTCTATTTATGTATCTATCTATCTATCTATTTATGTATCTATCTATCTTTCTATCTATTTGTCTATCTATCTCTCTCCTTATCTATCTTCCACACTACCACTTCTCTTAACATTAGTTTATCAACATAACTTTCACACTCTCTCTCACTCTCTCTCTCTATTTATCTATCTATCTGTCTGTCTATCCATATATCTATCTATTTGTCTCTCTCTCTCTCTCTCTCTCTCTATCTGCCACACTACCTCTTCTTTTAACATTAATTTATCAACATAACTTTCACACTCTCTCTCTCTCTCTCTATTTATGTATCTATCTATCTATCTATCTATCTATTTGTCTATCTCTCTCTCTCTCTCTCTCTCTCTCTATCTCTCTATCTGCCACACTACCTCTTCTTTTAACATTAATTTATCAACATAACTTTCACACTCTCCCTCTCTCTCTCTCTCTCTATTTATCTATCTATCTATCTATTTGTCTATCTATCTATCTATGCATTTTTCTATTTATGCATAATTTAATCATAATTTATGCATAATTACTATCTACACATCCATTTATTTTAACCACCTTTTCTCTTACACTCTCTTCTCTTTCTATATTTATTTATCTCCATATTTCAGTACCCCCTCATTCTCTCACTGTGTCTCAGTTTGTCCCTTTCTTTCTCCCTCTGTCTGAATCTTTTTTCCCTCACTTTTCTTTTACTATTTATTTACCCACATATCTGGCTATTTAGATCAACATCTATCATTGAACGATTATTATGGTCATGAGGTAAATGTAATGAAAGGTGTGCCTAAGTTGTTTATAAAGACACTTGTACTACTGCTATATCAATCTCCGCCTATATACCATATTTTTCTATCTATCTATCTATTTAATATCTAATTCAACACTTTATATCTCTTCCTACCTCTCCTCTCTCTCTCTCTCTCTCTCTCTCTCTCTCTCTCTCTCTCTCTCACACACACACACACACACACAGTCATTCATTTATTACCCTATTATTTATCAATGTATTTTTTACCCTCTCTGTCTCTCACTATCTCTTGTAGAGAACTCAGTCTTTCTATCTATCTGTTTATCTCTATATTTTTCTACCTCTCTCCCTTACACTCAGTCTTCTTTCTCTGTTCTTGAACAACAAATCTCTCTGTCTCTCTTATGCTTTCTCTCGCTCTCTTTCTCTCTATCTATCTATCTCCCTCTCTCGATTAATTACAATATCTCTGTATACATGTCTATTTATCTCAACCCCTTTCTCTCTCACACCTACTCACTTTCTCTTTTTCTCTGTCTCTGTTACAAGTAATTTAAAGATACTTATAAACTATAAGAAATCAAGAAGAGAGTTGTATTTGTTAAGAAACAAAATAAAAAATTAAAGAAACACCGAACAAATCATTATTAAACGTTTTGTACGATGGAAAGCCGACTAAATAAAATGAATTTTCAATATTGGTAACATTTTTACAAATAATCAGTCCATCAATAAACCAATTTTCTTGATTGCTTTCATACTTTTTAACTTGGTTATTTACCGTCGTATCTTACTTTTAATAATTTAATTGACCATCCTTTGGTTATATTATTGAGGAAATTTAATTCGAAATAGGCTAGTTTTGTTACATTTTAATTATTAGCGATTTTTATTAAAGAAGAACAAAAAGAAGAGAAAATGCCCCTGGTTGTTTTCTTTTATAGACTGTACGTATTTAATGTTACAAGAGCGTTATTAACGAAACATGAATCAATAGAAGAAAAAATAATATAGTAAGAAATTAAGAATACAGTTGTAAACAAATTACTTACCCCAACCAATAGCTAAGTACACTCTTAACTTGATATTTTCTTGGGTAAACGTTTTAACAACCAACATGTATAAGTAAAATCCTGAAACAAAACAAAAACAATTAGCCTTTTCTCAACACTAATGCTAATGTTGCGTTGTTGTTGGAAAAGTTCTAGTGAACGACAACATTAAATCCTTAGTTAAAACACTTGATATACTTTTTTATTATTTTTTTATTTAGAAAATATGTCTTTAAATTTAATTTGCAATGGGGAAAAATTGGCAATAAATATTTATCGGTTAGTTTTAGTACTTTCTAGGCTGAGAAATGGTTAACAAGATCAAGTTGTGAGTGTGATATCACTTTGAGCTTGTTACATATGTCAACGCTATTTGCGCTAAACTATGTCCTAAACAGTTTACTAGAGCAATTTACTAAGCTTTGATGCTTTGAAATAAAGCATTCCAAAACAACCTTAAGCACAGGCCAAATTGACAGAGAAGGAGTGTTCACCCTGCTTATTACCCAGTCGTTGCGCTTATTCCTTCTTTTTCGTTCAATTGCGCGATGAGTGCAAACAATTTCGATTTATGCAAAAGGATTTCTCTAAAAAAACTTAATGTCTTGTAAAAGCATAAAAAATATTTTGGAGGAAAAAGCCGCGTTAATATTTAACTGTTTCATTTTTCCTGGGAAAGTTAGAACCCAATGTTGATCGTGTTCACTGCGGAAGGACGGTTAAATGACGAAGGATCAATTTTTAATGCATCCCTGTCAGGAAAATTGAGCCGCGTCGGGGTTCCATGGTGTCGGGTTGATTGGTAGTTTTGGGAAGGTCAATTTTCTTTTTTTTAATTGACCAGCAGCGCTGAAATTTTGTTTTTTGAAAAATTAACCATTTTCAACTCAACTAGAATTCAAATTATTCCATTTCGAAGGAAATATTTTGAAGAGACGAGAAGAAATGTAGTTAAAAACTAATGGAATATTAAAAAACGTAATTAAAGAATTCACTAATTTCGTAGTCCGCTTAACCAATTGATATATTACAATTAAGTAAGGTTTTTGGTTGAGATAAAAAAGTCGATGGCACGAGCGGGATTCGAACCCACGATCTTCGGTTGATAAGCCGCTGCTCTACCACTTGAACTATCGAGACCACTCGGACGCTAACTTCCCATCTCAACTCCACCTTTTGACTTTTCCCTCCTTTTTGCCATTTTTCAATTTTCATCTCAACAAAAAACCTTAATTAATTGAAAAGAATTTATTTGTTGTCACCAATGTCACCATCTCAACCGCACCTTTTGAGGTCATTCATTTGTCGTCGAGAATCCAATCCGATTACACGACATTTGAAAAATGGCAAAAAAGGAGAGAAAATTCAAAAGGTGCGGTTGAGATAGCTCAAGTGGTAGAGCAGCGGCGTATCTAGCCGAAGGTCGTGGGTTGACACTAACTTTTTTATCTCAACCAATACCTTAAATAAAATTTAATTTATTGATCAATTAAATTCCCTATTTTTCGTGGTCCGCTTGACCAGTTAATAACATTCAATTAATTAAGTTTTTTTTATTAAGTTGAGATAAAAATGGCAAAAAGGAGGGAAAATTCAAAAGGTGGGATTGAGATAGGAAGTTGGTGTCCGAGTGGATCGAGGTCACGATAGCTCAAGCGGTAGAGTAGCGGCGTATCAAGCCAAAGGTCGTGGGTTCGAATCCCGCTCGTGCCATTGACTTTTTTATCTCAACCAAAAACCTTAATTAATTGTAGTAATTAAGGAATGTTGATAAAAATATCTTTATAGTTAATTATGTAAAATAAGAATAAATTTACAAATCAATTTATGTACTGATTGAGTGTGACGATCGAGTTAGTTCTTACCCCGCGAGGTATTTTATTGCCCAATAAATAAGTAATCCTTCGAATGCTCTTTTACGCCTTTCCGTAATAAAAAATGAGCGGAACGATTTAATTTTAAATTTAGACTGATCGTTTTGTATATATCCTTCAGTAAAAAATCACATTAATACTGAATCAAGTCTTCAACACCAAACTTTGGCTATTTTTTTAGGAAATTAAATTTTTGTTCAATAAAAAACGCATAGAAAGTTTAGATTTTTTCTTACCTTCGACGAACATCCAGAAAAAATTTGTCAAATGGAAGTAATGAAGAAGAATGACTAGAAGTACACAAGGAACGAAATCTGTCTGCACTGAGATCTACACAAAAAATTATAAGAAGATTATAACCTTAATCAAAGATAATATTTATAAACAATTCTAAGAATAATCAAGCTGTTTGAACTGCAAAAGTAACTGGATGTATGAATTAAAGATAATATTTATAAATAATTCTATAAATTAACAGGTTATCTGAATTGCAAAAGTTACAGGCTGTATGAATTTTAGATGCTGTTTAACAGGTTGGAATTTCAACGTCATGTTCTTGTAATTTGCTCTAAAATTACTCTGCAAACATAATGCCTGTTTAATTACTACTGATATTTCAATTACTCCCATCAAGGTATATTGAGGCTATCAATTCGGAAATTGATCAATATTTCAAATAATAGATAGAATATGAAATGGGAATGAATTATTCATACGTTACCTGCAAGGAATAATTTAATATCCACATGAAGTCGGCGAGTATGTACGTACACATGAGATTTGTGTGGATTGTATTTCTAAGACATCTCAGCTCCCTTAAAAAAATAAAATGGTTTAATGTAATAGTTATTCAGAAATCCTGAGGTCTGGTGGGACGTAGGTTTCAGAAAAACATTTTCTTTATAGTACCAACGTTTCGATCATTATTGAGATCATCTTCAGGGCTCAATGTGTTTGTTTTCGGCGTAATTGTGCCATTCCTGTGTGTCGTGTTAAGAGTGCCTACATGACACGCAAGAATGGCACAATTCCGCACTTTGAGCACTGAAGATGATCTCAATAAAGTTCGAAACGTTGGCACGACAAAGAAAATGTATTTCTGAAACCTACGTCACACCAGACCGCATCTCACGATTTCCGAATAATCATAGACTAACGGTCACTAATCACCACACATTAAGTTAATAGTTTAAAAAGTTTAAAAATAAAACAAATCGATAATTCAAACATTCGATTTTATTGGAGAATAAGAAAAACAAATACATACATCTATACACTGCCAGGCAAAAAATTCCACCCAATTAATTTTTTTTCATTTTCTCTCGATAAAAGAAAATTCTGCTCTAAATATGTCTCATCGTTTATATCAATAAATATTTGTTTATGCTATGTTTTAAATTGGGAATATCAATTAGAGGTAAACCCACTTTATCCTTAATACACAACAAGGATAAAGGATTTTTCAAGGTTTAGTTTTTACGAAATTTAAAATGTTGATTCAGTCTCATTTGAATTCTGAAGCAATAAACTATTTAGTTTTCATCTTTGTTTTCTTAATTTCAATTTTTAAACATAAAAATGCAATTCAGTGCTGAGGATGTTGCTCGTGGTGTGGCACTTGACATGGACGTTTTACACACACACACACACACTCTCTCTCTCTCTCTCACACACACACACACACACACACATATATATATATATATCCAGTCCACCTATATAATTTGAAAACGGTTAACATTAGCAAAAAATGGTCTTTTACAAATTAAATAAAACTAACTTTGTTATTTTAAATAAAAATCCCATATTTTTATTGTACAACGCGATTCCAGAGCTTATTTAATGTCTCTTTTACAGGGTGAATAATTTTGATTGGATCGACCATTTCTGAGGTAGGCCCGACGGAAGAAGCGTGAGGGAGGTAAGCTTTTTGTAACTACAAGATGGCCCACCCCTTTATTTCGAAAACGATTAACTTTAGCGTAAAATCGTCTTATACAAAGCCCAAGTTAATTTTGCCTAAACATGGCGTGGTAGGAATAGATTAAACATAACTTTCTCATCAAGCTGACTTTTTTATCTCAACCAATACCTTACATAAAGATTAATTAATTGAAAGATGTTATTTGGTCAATCGGACAACGAAATCTAATGATTTTAAATAATAATACCATATTTCTACTTTCTAGAGATTATTTTATGCCACTTTTACTTAAAGGAAAATTTTGATAGGATCGACTATTTCTGAGGTCCAGCGGAAGAAGCGTGAGGAGGGGGATGATTTTTGTAACAACAAGATGGCCCACTCCGTTTCAGATTTAAAATACAGGGGTTTTATATTGCCGTTTTGCGCAGGGAGCGGATTTGAGCAGTGATTACAAACATAACACATTATAAACATAATTTTTTACAAATGGCCAAATCTGCAACAATAGATAATAACAACTGGGAATTATTTTAAAATTAAATTCACCATTTCTTGTGGTCCGCTTGACCAATTAATATAATTCAATTAATTAATGTTTTTAGTTGAGATAAAAAAAGTCAGTGTCATCTGTGGGATTCGAACCCACGATCTTCGGCTTGATACGCCGCTACTCTACCACTTGAGCTATAGCTACCACTCGTGGCAATAGCTCAAATGGTAGAGTAGCGGCGTATCAAGCCGAAGGTCGTGGGTTCGAATCCCGCTCGTGACACTGACTATTTTATCTCAACTAAAAACTTTAATTAATTGAAAGATATTAATATTGGTCAAGCGGACCACGAAAACTAGTGAATTTAACCGTGTATATTTTTCTATATTCAGTTTTGTCATCCACTTTATGCACCAGTTGATCAGCTCAAGGAGTTCTTGAAAGTCGTTTAAATAGGATTTGGGTTAAAAAACTGCGGTATTCTCGTAGGTAGAATTGGGTGGTATGCTATAAAGGATAGGGCCAAGAACACTCCCCTGTGGTAGAACATCCCTCTGAAACAGTTGACTTTTTTTATCTCAGCTAAAAACCTTAATTAATTTAAAAATAAACTTGACTGATTGGACGATGATAAAAAATCCGTTTGAAAAATTGATATAAGATTAATGTAAAAGCAACCTACTTTATTCTGCGACGATTCCTGTCCTAAAGTAACCTGCTAATGCTAATCGTTTTCGAAATAAAGGGAGAGGGCCATCTTGTTGTTACAAAAAGCATACCCCATGCGCCTTCCGTCGGGCAAAAATCAGAAATGGCCTATAGAATTTTTTTCTCTAAGCTAAAATAAGCTCTAGAATTGTATTGTACAATAAAAATATGGGATTCTCATTTAAAATTACAAAGTTAGTGTCATTGCCAACCTAGAAGAAAAGCGATTCTTAGCTAAAATTAACTTGGGGTTTGTGTAAGACAATTTTTTGCTTAAGTTAATCGTTTTCGAATTAAATGGTTGGACTATAGAAGTTGATACACCCTGTGTGTATAAGTTGCTCACAAAATAAACCTTGTCCACGTCTACTAAGCCATGCTTGTTTTTAAGTCATAGGCTACATTAAAGATGTCGAAAAATTCTGGTACAATATAAACAGGCTGTAGTTGAAAGGGATTTCGAGTAAGTCATTTTTATTATAATTTTAATTATAATTTATAATTTAAAGTATAGGTCAATTCAGTTTGACCACTGGGCGAAATTAATCTAAGTTAATCATTTCTAAGGACCCACTTCACCGAAAGATCTATAGCATACGGTTGAATTAGAGTGGACGGTATGCTTCGCTGCGAACTGCTTCCTGAGAATGAAACAATTCCCAACTGGAACTGCTGAATACTAAATGCAGCGAATCGCTGGCGAAAGGAGAATATATAACTAGAATCGTTTCTTTCCATGACAACCCAAAGACCGATTGCAGTTGGGACTGATTAAACTTTTTAACCAAAAAAAAAAAGTTGGATCATTAGAAGAACTACTAGACTGAAAATTTTATTTAATTAAAAACACATCATTGAACAATTCAATTTTTTACCTTTTTGTGTATAATAATAATATAAGAAAATATTCATAAAAATTAAACATACGAAAGATCTTAGATTCTTGAGTAAATCCGTCAAAAGAGCTCGCATACAGTACCGTCTTTGAAGCCAGGTGTTTAATATATAAGCAATATTGCTCATTCCATTGTATCTTTTGTGACGGAGACGATTCTCTGACTTTTTCCGTTTTCTACCCGGCGTATCATATATTTAGAAGTAGGAGGTTTGACCGGGCACCCTCGAAATGTACTTTTATAAATGGCCCCAACCCTTGAAAAAATAATCTACAACAGTATTTTGAACAATAACCTTCCCGCGTGAGGTCTGATGATTAATTACAATTCCCTAGCAGCGTTAACAAATGAATGTACGAAAAATTAATGACGGGTCACTCACATGAAAAATGTTTTTGTCTTCAAAGACAAAATAAAAACAATTCGGGGTACGTGAAGGATAAAATTATTTGACACAATGCATGTGTTATTTATAAAAATTAAATAAATAAAGGGAAGTAAGTACATCTCCAAAAATAATCATTAGCTAACGGCCACTAAATGCCACCCACATAAGTAAGTACATCGACAAAAGACTAAAGCCGGGAACACATTTAAACCAGAAACACACTTACCCGATGCTACGCCATGCGACGCTACCCGATGCTACCCGACGCAACTCCAAACTCCGATTTTCCATAAGGTTGCATTACCCCCGTGCACATCTACCCGATGCTACCCGACGCAAATCCAAACTCCGATTTTCCATAAGGTTGCATTACCCCAGTGCACATCTACCGGACGCTCTGCGACCCCCACTGTCCAGATTTTCGACGGGTCGCATTGAGTATAGTCGAAGACAAAAGAAACGGACACTCATATTTTTATTCAAACTACATGTATTATTGTCGTTATATTAATTACAACATACTTATTTTCATATAAACCAAATTAACTGTGATTAAAAAATTAATTAGTTTTTATTTAAAAAATTAATTTTAATGGCTTGGTAGAAAATTAATCAAAACAACGGAATACGATTTTTTGATATAATGAATTTAACTAACAATTTATTGTACTCGCTTCGGTGGTACATATACTAAAATTGGAACAATTTATTACACGGTTTTGCTCATAAAATGTAATTAACAATTTATTTCATAGTTTTGCTCGTAAAATTATACCATTTTGTTATGTCGGGTAGTATCAGAACAGGACACTCATATTTTTTGTAGTTTATTTCAAACTAAGTACATGTAATTTTGTCGTTATATTAATTACATGTTATTTTAATGTAAATCAAATTAAACGAGATCAAAAATGCAAAGGTTTTTATAAACATTGTTTAATTATGATGGTTAGGAGTAACTTTATTTAAAACAATTAAGTTTAACAAACAATTTATTAGATGGTTGTGCTCATGAAATTTAAGTAACAATTTATTACATGGCTCTACAAGGTTTTGTTGAAAATAGTGCATTAAGAACAAAAGATGCGTTGCGATTGTGATAGTGAATATTGTGACAAACGCTGAGAACTGTACGCGACGTGTGCTTGCGTCGGATAGATGTGCACACCCCATCAAAACGTGGCAATGCGTCGGGTAGCATCGGGTAAGTGTGTTCCTGGCTTTACCCGATGCAACGCCATGCGACCCGATGCTACCCGACGCAAATCCAACGTCCATTTTTCCATAGGATTGATTACCCCCGTGCACATCTGCTCGATGCTATGCTACCCTACTCTACGCTCTGCGATCCCCACTGTCCAGATTTTCGTCGGGTCGCATCGAGTACAGTCGAAGACAAAAGAACCGGACATCATATTTTTATTCAAACTACATGTATTATTGCCGTTATACTAATTACAACATACTTATTTTAATATAAACCAAATTGACCTTGATCAAAAATTCAATAGTTTTTATTAATACAATTAATTAAGGTTTTTAATTGAGATGAAAAAATGTTAATGGCACGAGCGGTATTCGAACCCACGATCTTCGGCTAGATACGCCGCTGCTCAACCACTTGAGCTATCGTGACGTCGATCCACTCGGACATCAACTTCCTATCTCAACCACACCTTATGAGTTTTCCCTCCTTTTTTAGTTTTTATGAAACAAAATTAATTTTAATTGATTGGTAAAAAATGATCAAAACACCGGAATACCATTTTTTGATATAATGAATTTAACGAACAATTTATTACACGGTTTTACTCATAAAATTTAACTAACAATATATTTCATGGTTTTGCTCATAAAATAACACCATTTAGGTGTTATTATATATGACATATTTATATATATCCCATATGACAAAATGACATATTTTATAAATAATCATAGAAATACATATTTTATATAACAAGTTGTAATCGAAAAAATTTCTGTAATTCTAAGAAATAGCATAATCTGGAATATTTGTACTTGCATACATGTGGCACTAAATAATTATCATACGTTTATATTAATCCATATTTTATGAAAACAGTTGTTTGTTTCATACTTCGGTTTTATTGTTTGAGGAAAATAAATGTTATAGAAATTGACAAACTTAAGCACACATATAAGCATAAGCCTAAACATGGTGAGTAGTAGAACAGGACACTCAAATTTTTTTAAAGTTTATTTCAAACTAAGTATATTTAATGTTGTCGTTATATTATTGGGTTGTCCGGAAAATAATGCAGGATTTTGGTATTAAACAAAAAAAAAGAAACTAGTTACTTTAAAGCAATGTTCTTTAATCAAAATAATTTCCCATACTCTCAATACATTTCTCCCAACGTGTTGGTAACTTATTAATTCCGTCTGAGTAGAATTCAGAATTTTTAGAATTGATAAAGTCAATAAATGCATTTTCCAGTTCCGTTTGATTTTTGAATATTATGTGTTGTAAGTAGTGGTCCAGGTGTCTAAAAAAATGGTAGTCAGTAGGCGAGAGGTCCGGAGAGTAGGGTGGGTGAGGCAAAGTTTCATAGCCAAGCTCCAATAATTTTTGTGACGTTACACGTGACACATGTGGTCGAGCGTTGTCATGCAACAAAATGGGCCCTTTCCGATTGACCAAAGAGGGCTTCATTACTGCCAATTTCTGATGCATGGTATTAATTTGGTTACAGTATGATTCAGCATTGATGGTTTCGCCAGGATTTAAGAAGCTGTAGTGTATTAAACCAAATGAAGCCCACCATACCGTAACCATTACCTTTTTTTGATGAGTTGGGGGCTTTGGAAAATGTATTGGAGCTTCTCCTTTGTCGAGCCACTGTCCAGAACGTCTAGTGTTATCGTAGAGAATCCACTTTTCGTCACATGTAACAATTCTGGCCAGAAATGGGTCATTTTTGTTTCGACAAAGAAGTGATGCACAAACATCAAAGCGCTGATTTTTTTGGCGATCGTTTAATGAGTGTGGAACCCAATTTTCGAGTTTTTTCACTTTTCCAATCGCCTTGAGGTGGTCAGCGACGGTCGTTTTACTGACTTTGAGTTGCTCTGCACCCACCACTGATGATTATGATGGTTAGGGAGAACATTTATCAAAACATCGGAATAAATTTGCGATTGTGATAGTGATTATTGTGATACACGTGACGTGCGCTTGATTTTGCATATATGTGCACACCCTCCAAAACGTGGCAAGGCGTCGGGTAGCATCGGGTAGCGTCGCATAGCGTTGCATCGGGTAAGTGTGTTCCCGGCTTAACTTGGAAACCCCATCCAAGACTAAAAAATCAGGAACTGTTTAGACGCTATAAAAAACTCACCAATCCTAGAAAAATTATCAAAACGAACGACTGACATACGAAACAATAATTAAATCCTTTGAACATAACGCTTTGTACTGTGAGCTTCAACCAAACATTCCAACTATCCAGATTTTCCAATTCTAAATCCTACGAAAAATACTACCGATATAGTCTATATTCCTCAAATCCTGCCTCCTGAGGCAGAGTCCTTCCGCCTTCCATTTACAGACATTTATAAATTTCTCAGCTTGCTTCACATCTGGTGTTTTGTTCAATGCTTGAGTTTTTCTTTCTCAGAACATTTTTCCAGTTCCAACTTAAGCACACACTTTGTGACACCTAGCTGGGGTACTGGTCACATGGGTTCTCACCTTTCGGGCTGCCCATTTTTTGGCTTGTTGGTCAGCTTGTTCTTTCCCATCTATATCTTCATATGCGAGAACCCACTTTAAGGCAAACTTGTTGTGTTCCCTTAAAGCTATTGCAATTTAGGTACTTACAAGCAAGTTTGCATTTTTACCCGAACGCCTACTCCTTAATGCATCTTCGATCCATGAATGTACCATACTAGGGACCTGCCTAAAACTTAGGACTACCTTTAATCCAAAGGTCTCAGTTATCTGTGACCAATTGGACAAGTCTATCAAATTTGAGTTTGTCTATCATTTTGTCAAGTATCATTATAACAATCTCATTTATATTAATTCTCTTCAGAATTCACGAATTTCGTGGTCCGCTTGACCAATTTGAAATTTGAATGCCATTTGCCAAAATGCCATTTGAAAAATGGCACAAAGGAGGGAAAATTCAAAAGGTGGAGTTGAGATGGGTAGTTAATGTCCTAGTGGATCGAGTTCACGATAGCTCAAGTGGTAGAGCAGCGGCGTATCTAGCCGAAGATCGTGGGTTCGAATCCCGCTCGTACCATTGACTTTTTTATCTCAACCAAAAACCTTAATTAATTGTAAGTCTCTTCAGATCTGGCTTTATTTCCTTGTATCTCAGGAATCTGTTAGCACTATATTCCATCACTATGTTCCATCTGCGATTTCCTCCTAACATAAAATGTAAAAAAAGTCGTTTTAACATAGTTTGGTAACTGGGGATGAAACGTTCTATATAAACACTGATCTGTGAGGAAAATCCTGTGGAAAAGGCAGCGACCCACTGTTAGCAACACCTGAATTAAAAGAAGGTAATGTTATAAATTTGGGGTTTAAAAGAGGTGCTTTATTATATGCTTCTTCTTCCCAACCAAACCGTTGTTTCTTGTCTGAAATGCACAAAATTGGACCTATAATAATAATAATAATTTTGGTCATGTGATCGTCCTAAGCAAGTTAATTATTTAATCAAAAAAATTTAATCAAATTAAAGGTACAGCATTTACTAAAATAATGTGTTTTAATGTTTTTAGATATAATATTTTCCAAAAGAGGTAAATTTGAAAAGTTGAGATGATGAGTGTTAATCAGAAATTCCAGTCCAGGCCAACCTCCGCCACCGCCTCCGACTTACAACCACCTCACAACTTTGATGGGTTCTCACGACCACATTTTACCGAAATCCTTGTGCAAGAACAGGGAAAGAAAGGCCAGACAATTGAAAATAAGAAGTGACCAAATAAAATGTTGCCAATATTTTATGTACTCAGGGAGACAAACCTGACTTAAGGATTATCATCAAACGACATCGTCAACTCATGACAATTCACAACTGGCCGTTTTTTTCTCTTTATTTCAAGATGCAAAGGATGTACAGGCGATTATTAAACTTTTGATCCGCTTCAGCTATGATTACCTTTGAAGGTTAGAGTCTTACCTTTGATATATGGGATGGTTTATACATGATGTTGATTATGACGGGTGGTATATATTACGCCTGAAATCTTTTCCATTGTTTTGAATGTTTCTCGAAATATTTCAGTACGGCTTATTTACCGAAATGTATACTGATGCACTGTATAAACTTCGGTATTCTGTTATAGCAAGTTCAAGGCTTATCCATAATTAATCACTGTATCGTGTTACGTTTTGTGTTCATTAAAAAGCCTAGGCGTGGCAGCAAGGATATTTGTATCACGGCTCTAATTAGTAGTAAGCGTGTTTTTCCCTCCCAGAAGGATTTAAATGCTAGTCAGTTGTCACCTAAGGGTTAAACCATGTTATTTGTAACTTTATAATGCGAAGTGGATAGAAGTTTTTAAATCATTTTCTAGCACGCACTAAGATTTAAGACTTTAACGATAAAAGGGGTCGGCTTTATGACCATGCCCTACGAATATTGGCCTATTGTGAAATTTCCATAATGGTCTAGAGCTCTCTTTTAATCGTAGGGCTTTTTACCAGATTCTAAGCTTTGTTATGGCATCCCTTGTGTACCTTTCAGACATTGGTTTTTTCTCTTCCAGGAAATTTCAGACTGCATAGGCCATCCTAACAGAATACACAGCTGTTTCTTCTTCTTCCCAGGAATATGTGCACAGACTTGTTTCTGCTGCTCCGAGTTTACTTTCTTCTGGATTCTGCAGTGTCCACAGTCCAAATATCATAGAAATGATAAATGATGGAGTGAGTGTGGTGTTCAATACTTTTTAAAAGGATAGTTCCTACTCACAGTAAGTTGTTTTGCAACTAGAAATGAACAGATTTAATTAATTTGTTCTTTGATTTGAAAAGATTTTTTTCGAAATTATCCATGAATATTTCAGCACAAAGTGGGGATAATGGAGACCCCATTGGTAACCCTTTCATTTCGTAAAATTTATTATTGAATTTACAATAATTAGATAGTAGGCATATATTTAAGAGGTCTATTATATCATTTTTTACAAATTGGTTAATAGAATTCTCGGTAAGTTTTGGCTTTATGAGTTTAGTACATTCTTCAACGGGGATATTTGTGAATAAATTAGTAACGTCAAATGATACTAAAACACAGTTGTTGGGTATATTGATGTTATTTAATTCTTTTATCAGTTCTAAAGAATTGTTGATACCGAATGTAGGTTTGAATTTGGTCTGGGTTTTAATTATTTTGTCAATTGTACTTGCAAGTTTATGGCATGGGGAATTATAAAACGATACTACCGGTCTTATAGGTTTGTTTTCCTTATGAATTTTGACTGAATAACATTGGGGGTTTCGAGTTCATTGGTATTAGTTTTTTAATTGCATATTGGTCATCTGAAAATAAAAAATCACTATTTTTTATGGCTGTTTGAACTCGAGTTTTTAGTTTTAAGGTGGGATCTTTTTGGATTTCTTTACACTCATTATTATTTAAGAATTCTTCAACTTTAGAAACGTAATTTTGATTTTCAATGATAACTACTATTTCCTTTATCGGCTTTTAAAACAACGTTGTTGTTACTTTTTAACTTTTCATCAATAGACCTAATTGTACGTGGGATATTTAATTTATTTACGTTTAAGTTTACCAAGTTTTGTTTAATTATTTCAGCACATTTATATTTTATATTTGTATTTATGTTACTACAATCCACCGATGAACCAAGAGATAGTAGTTTTTTTGTATCCAAATCTGTTTTAGGGACAAATTTTAAGCCTTTGTTTAATAAATTGGTTTCTTCTTTATTTAGTGCCATGTTTGTTAAGTTTATAACCCTTGGGTAAAATTTAACTGGAGTTTTTGGATCTTTATGGGTATTTTTATTTTTAAGTGAACCGTACTTTAAGCTTTTGATTTTTTTAACTAATATACCTTGTTTTTTATCAGTGATAAATTTAATTTTTGATCGCGTATCATAATCGAACTCATCCCATTCTACTTGAGACAATAATGACGCAAGCCTAATGTGTACAATATATTGATAAAAACGTTTTGTATCTCTTAGACTGTACAATTTATGTAATTCATTATTTAAAATGGTTTTTTGGCATTTACTTTGTAAGAGAGTTGAGCAGTTCTTAACATTTAATTTAGCAAGAACGAATTTTGGGGTTAGGTTTAATTTCAAACATTGGGAATTGAACCAGATTGATTTGTTAATCTTTGAGCATGAAAGTCTCAATTTATAATAAAGATTTAAAAGTACTTGTTTATTAACAGATTTTAAGTAATTGGATGTGATGTTATTGATTGTGTTATAATCCATTACTGCTTTGACTAGCAAATTAATAGAAATGATAAATGATGGAGTGAGTGTGGTGTTCAATATTTTTTAAAAGTTAAGGTTTTTAGTTGAGATAAAAAAAGTCAATGGCAAGAGCGGGATTCGAACCCGCGATCTTCGGCTTGATACGCCGCTGCTCTACCACTTGAGCTATCGTGACTTCGATCCGCTCGGACACCAACTTCCCATCTCAACCGTATCTTTTTTGAATTTTCCCTCCTTTTTGCCATTTTTCTCAATTAAAAACCTTAATTACTTGTAATATATTGGTCATGCGGACCACGAAATTTGTGAACTTTTTAAAAGGATAGTTCCTACTCACAGTAAGTTGTTTTGCAACCAAACGCAAAGTTTTAAAAACGCTCTACTAGCAGGATATAGGGACAAAAGAGATAGCTTCACGTTAAAAATCGAGATGACAAAATTAAAACAAGAACATAACGAAACTAGTATAGAATTTTTCAATAGGTTGCAAAATATACTAAATTTACTTACTGCTTATCAAAAAACTCATTATGTATCGACACAATCACCAATTTTGATAGGTTACGCTCAGAAATGAGCATTACGAGTTTTATTAATAGGTTTAAAAGAACCTACAGGATCTCTCATTCGTGCGAGAAATCCTTCAGATTTGATCGAAGCTCTTAGCATGCTCACAAACGACTTTCAATATTACGTCCAAGGAAATAATCGAACAATCGCAAACATATTCCCAGACAGAAAAAAAAGTTGCAAAACAACTTACTGTGAGTAGGAACTATCCTTTTAAAAAGTATTGTCCAAATATCATCCTAGTCTTTGTACAACCCAGTTTTAGTTCTTCTGTTAGTTTAGGCAAAGGATTTTTAATGAACTTTTTCAACAATTCCATTGGACCGAGGACATATTCTTAAACCGATGGTTAATCGATCTACGTTTACGGCAGGAACGATAGTAGTCAACGTCAAATGTTGTTGACTTTAGTGCAACGGACTGTCCGAGTTACAAAATCTCCAATTGAAAATAACAGCATATTGTCCGAAGCTTTAATGAAAGCATAATGTGCTTGGTTTATTTCCAAATATACCAGTTTCTGAGACAGACTCGGTCTTAGAGCCAATTGTATACCAGATGATTATCATCAACGTGTGGTGATTAGTGACCGTTAATCAATATTTATGTAGAAATCGTGAGATGCGGTCTGGTGTGATGTAGGTTTGTAGAAAAACATTTTCTTTATCGTTCCAACGTTTCGATATTTTATTGAGATCATCTTCAGGGCTCAAAGTGTTTGTCTTCTGTGTAATTGTGCCATCCTTGCGTGTCGTGTTGAGAGTGTCCATTGCCTATTTCTTCCAGTTTTCTCTATCTTGAGGAGAAAACTGCGTCCAAACTTTTAAAATGTGATACGCTGTCACGTGAATTGTACGCTGCCCAACAAAAAGAACAGACCACCTGGGTTTTGCAAGAAAAAATGGCCAAAGTCACAGACCTGCGCTAGGTCTCACTTTGTAGAAAATTTTACGCTGAATAAGTTGGTTTTTCTACATGTTTTCATTAAAGTCAAAAATTCTGAAACGTGTCAATTTTTGCACTTTTTAGTAGTACTTCAAATTGACCTGTGAAGCCAGGAAATCGTCCTGGCGCGACGCTCTTCTTTAGCAATCGATAGGAAATTTTAATAAACTTTCAATTGGTCACCTTCCACTTTGCCCCATTTCTCAACCGTTTTCGAGCGGTTCACGATTTTTAGGCAAAAATCGTTGATTTTACGTGCTGGTGGAAAAACGGATCATTCTCCGATTTTCAAGAATGCATACATTCTGAACCGTCAACTTTTCGTAATTATTGCACTCTACATATTTTGTTTTGAGGACTTTTTCGAAAAAGGGATCGGGTAAGCGACAATTCTCACTTTTTCTTACTTTGACCTTTCGGGATGCAGAATGCTTCGGCTGTCGATAACCACTTGTCTACTTCATCACGTAAATTCAATTTTTGCTTTCCGTTTCACAGGTGTTGTGTGGCAGTTTGGCTATAGAAGATCGGTTTTTTCCATGAGCACGTAAAAAACCACGTTTTTTGTCCAAAAATCGCGAATAACTCGGTTGAAAAATTCGCCAAAATGGAAGGTGACTAATTGAAAGCTTATTAAACTTGCCTATCGATTGCTAAAGGGTGTCGTTCCCAGACGATTTCCTGGCTCCACAACTCAATTTTAAGTTTTCGTAAAAAGTGCAAAACTTAACATGTTCCAGAATTTTTGAATTTAGTGAAGCTAGGAACAATGTAAAAAACCATCTTGTGGAAACTAAAATTATCTAAAAAATGAGACCTAGCGCAGATTTTTTTTTGTTTTGCACAGAGATCCGACAGCTTTTTTTCAGCCAGAGAGCGGAAGTAAAATACTGCAACACACACATACATTCATAAATAAATTCACAACTACATACATCGATCGCACTCATTCTGTTTAGTAGGTAGAGTATTCGACATTTCTCCATGTACCTATTCACTATAATAAACCAATCTAGATTGGGGTCGATGGGGTACTTCTGTAAAATTTCTGCTATCAACCCAAGTCATACACACAACTTGAGGGGCGGTGGAGAACCTCTTCCTATTCACACCAATAAATACATTCACCCCTACAAGACCCAGAAATACAAAACATTTAACTTCTATACACAATAAAAAAAATCCCAATTCTCTTAAAACGCGGACAGAGGACCCTGAAACTCGCTGCTGTGTCCAAGAACCCCTTTCAAATCTAGCCACATGCCTACTCGCACGCCCTTTAGGGAGCCAAGGCTCGACACGCTTTGATTATGTGGGACACATCGAGCAAGCTTTTACTGCATAAAGGACACCTGCGGGGTGGATTCGCCAACTGGCATATGTGTCAACCGCGTATGACGTATTCTTAATCTGGCAAGAACTATTCCTGCCTTACGGCTCAGATGACACAGTGTGGCGGGTGGTGCAGCCTGAAAATGCGAGCCTCGTGTCCTCGTTCACTTCTCTTTCTTAATCCAGGTCCTTCGACATTCTTCCATGAGACCTCTCCCACCCTTGGTTACAAGGGGGGTTTCCAGGCGCAAAATAATGGTGCAGCCTTGAGGGCGTGGCAACCTCACTAAAGCGTAGACTGGGTACGTTTCTGCCTCCAGGTCGGCAGGGGACGGCGGGAGCTTTATCCTGTCGGTACCAGATCCTGTCTGCATAGACGGGGGGAGGGTGCATAACTATCTGTACTACGGGGTAGCAGAAATGTTTCAAAATCCAGCCCCTGCTACAATGGGAACGGACTCGTAGTGGTTAATGGTGATGCTCCTGGCGGGAACTTAGAGAAGAGACTGTTCCTCTATCTGTGACCTCCGTTCAAGCACTTACGTATGACTTTGTTGCAACCCCAGCCTAACGAAAGATCGGACCATCGAAACGAATAGCGTTGAAGACGCTAAGACAATGCTGACGGAGTCCCTCGAATGGGTGAGAAGTGGCGGATGGGAACGGATAGTGGTCGGTGGTGCCTACACGAATGGCGTCCTTTACCGAAGGCAGCCTTCTCTAGGAGGTGGTTAGCAATTCCACTTTAAACAAAACCGTGGCCGGAGCGGATCCGGAAGTTCTTACGCTGAAGGAACCCCCGTACTCTGGAAATCGACTGGCCTTCTCTTTATAGGGAGTGCGTGGGAGAGCTGATGCATTTCAGCCACCTTGGGTAGCCCTTTACGCGCGGTCTCATGCTTGATGCAGACCCGACCACTGCCGAATGGGCAAGCGGAGAGTGAGGTTCGTCTTTGCCCCGGGCTGGGATAGCTTCTACAACAACGCTTGCGGCTATAACACACATTCAGTCGTGAGCGAGTGCGCCATCTCTCATCTTGAGAATCAAAACGTCCAGTAAGGCCATGAGCCAGGTACGGACGTTAAAGATCCTCATTGTCCTTTTAAGGACGACCATTTGGCTCAGATCCTCGGGGGCGTAGGTTTTTTGATGGGCAATGCATTACACAACCCTTAAAATTTTGAGTACTCTCTGTCCTACTGAAGGGCTTAAGTGCAACTAGGTTGGCTGTCGCAGATAAAGTAAAACCACTTTAAAATACTTTATATATATTCCTAACAATTAAAATTCTATGGGATGTGCTGGAAGTCGAACCTAGAACCACTAACGATCTGTGGCGAGTTGCGGGGCTCCTAGATTCTTTGGATCCGATTGACCCAAGTTATTCCAATGGGTGTGGCGAAACAGGGACATGCAAACCATTCTAGGATCCAGGGAAAAACCTAATTCACTTACTTGTAATAAATAAATATGTAGACTGCGAGGCAGAGGGCAACAAGCGATAGCCCGTATCCTATCGAGTAGATCATCGTAGTCACTTCGACACCGTCTTCGAATTCGATCGCCGGTTTACCCAGGTCGCTGCATTTCGTATAGTTGGAATAATTTGCCCATGTCCCATTGGGATGACACCAACGTGTAGCATTTTCTAAAAAAAATTGAGTACAGAAAGTATATAAGTAGAAATGAAATTATCATCTAATGGAAATCTCAAGTAAATGCCATTTTAACATATATATGCTTTTCTGCTGTGTACACAATTTTTTTTTGCGTGGAGTGCGAATGGATTAGTTTAGGTCGGATTGCGTTGTGTTAAAGATAAGGTTAGGTTCTGAATGGTTAGCTAAGGAAAACTAGAGCTTATTTAAGTCGAAGGATTTTTGAAATCAGAGCATTATTGCATAGCCATCTCATAAAGTAAGACGGTATGAACAGCATATATGGTAACGATACATTTAGAAATGGAATGTCTCCGGTGTATATGAGTAAAAGACAGCTCCTAGGATATCTTCTTCGGTAGCCCGTGTGCGATAGGCTATTGACAAGGAGCAACTGATGATTTGAAAGTATCTGTCGGTTATGTAAGATTTTAGAATCAGGTAGGATTATAAGCTTTCAGAGTATCCCAGAATGAAGAATGATGCCTACAACCCGTTGGCCGGATCAAATGAAAACATCTGAAAGCGAACTGTTGGCCAGGAATAATGTTGTGGGAATGAAGTTTTCCTAAGATTTTGCCCATTATAAGCAATATATTCATTGGTCGGTAGGCTGAAAGAAGGTTATGAGGTTTTTAAGGCTTTGGAATAAATCTGATAAGGGAAAATCTTCATTGGGAATAGAAGTTTTGGATTTGAATTTTGCATTTATACAAGGACAAATTTGCACATGTTTGTCCATGTGTACACACATATACACAGTTATGCCTGTCACTTCTCGCAGTCCACCGGCAATTCCAGCTTTTGTAATTTACAATAAATTACCGGCAGGCCCGGAGGATCACCAACCTCGTGATAGTCCGGCATTCACGGGGTAGACCTGGGTCTTATCCGTCCAACTTCCAGATTTGGGTGCTTTCAACAGCTACGTCAATTCATCACCATCCATTTCCTAGATCCAAACCTATTCACAATCTCATTCATTCTTAAACACTGTGATGGTGGCCCATCCCAATTAAAATTTTCAAATTAGGAAGAAACACGACAAATCTGATTGGTCGTGGATGGGTCAGCTGGAAAATTTTGAAAGAGGGGAGAGATTAACTTCAGTCGCCATTTTGGTCGGCCCGAAAATGGATCCTGTTGATTAACGTGTGGTGATTAGTGCCCGTTAATCGATAATTATTCAGAAATCGTGAGATGCGGTCTGGTGTGATGTAGGTTTCAGAAAAACATTTTCTTTATCGTGCCAACGTTTCGATCTTTATTGAGATCATCTTCAGGGCCTGGGATTTACAAACATTGTTTACATTTAACAAATACATTTCGGATGTGAAAAAGTGAATTTATACAATGCAAATATTTTTTTATATTCAATCAACCTGTTTGAATTCAAACCTGTTGATTAAGTTTAATTGACTGTAAACATTAGAAAATATTTAAAATTTAAGAGATAAGTTTTTGGAAAGTGTTTATTTCAGTTAGAAAACCATTAGGGTAAATTTTATTTTGAGTTTAAAATTAAAAGGCTCGAAGGGTTTCTTTCCGGGATTCTCCCTTACGATATCAAACTAAGTCGATTTTATTTTTATTTTGTATATATCAGCTGTTCCCTGAAATATTGGAATCAAATTTTAATGTGTCAATACATTGAATCTTTTGTGAAGTTTTTTTTTTTTTTTTTGGGTAGAAATGTGTGGTGATTAGTGACCGTTAGTCGATGATTGTTCGGAGATGGTGAGATGCGGTCTGGTGTGACGTAAAAGTGAATTTATACAATGCAAAAAAATATTTTTTATATTCAATCAAAATATTTCTACTCATTACAGTACAAATACTTTGATTGAATATAAAAAAATTTTTTTTCATTGCTTAAATTCACTTTATTCCACATCCTACATGTATTTGTTAAATTTAAACAATGTTTGTAAATCCCAGGCCCTGAAGATGATCTCAATAAAGATCGAAACCTTCACACGAAGAAGAAAATGTTTTTCTAAAACCTACGTCACACCAGACCGCATCTCACGATTTCCGAATAATCAGTTAATTTTTTTTCTTTTTTCTCTCATTTTTCTATAAAAATTTAACAGCATCACCACACATTCTTTTTTATTTACAAAACCATTCGCAGGGTGATTGAGTACTCGATATTCCTCCACCAACCTCTACATATATTTTATAACTAACCTAATGGAGGGGGTACTCTATATTCCGCCATAGACCGATTCACACTCACATTCACAATAATAAATACACTCACTCTCAATTCACGCTAAGGACGCAAAACCATCATTGCTATATATAAGAAACAACCACGTTTTCTTCAAAATTAGAACGGGGATACTCTCTGCCGAGCTCAAGCTCAATTTTCATATCGGGTGGGATTCATACACGCTCTCTATACGGATCCAAGGAATTGCTTCGTGTACGTGAGGTAAACCGAGCATGAGAAGTTCTAAGTGTACAATCTAAACATACGTAAATTTCGTAAACTGATGACTTGAAAATATTTGTCAATTAAGTTTATTAGTTACTGATCATACCGTTTTTTTGAATACGTGGTCATTAATTAATATATTTATATATAATATTTAAAATATAATATGCAGGTTATGTAAATATAATAAATAAATATTTTTACAGTGAAATGTAATTTGGAATAACTGTCCTCCGGTCCATTAAGTAATTAACTCAAACGTCAAAAGGTTGTAAGTAAACTATGTATTTTACTATAATTAACGAGCAAACACATCAATCACACTAAAAGTGAAGAAAAAGAACAGGATATTTTTAGCGAAGAAACATTATTTTGTTTTATTGAAAAAAAAATATAAACTTTATATTTTTTTTAAAAGCATTTTCCATTGAAGTATCAGGGTTTTATTTTTTGGTAATTAGAAATGTCTGTACGGTGGGAGGTACTTAGAAATGAAACATATGAAAAATATGGGAAAATAGATAAATTTACAGCTCTGATGACGTAAACTACATAATTGAGGCTTAATTGTTAACATTTCTAAAACAGGCCAAGCACTTACGTGACGTGTCGTATTTGATGCCGTGAAGCTCTTCAAAGCACGGCAGATATGCTGCCCCGGGCCGGGATGGGGGCCAGCACAAAAGCCCGTCCCAGGACCTCTCGCAAACATCCTTCTGATCACGTTCCTCCTCCATTAATTTGAAACATCTAATCTCCTGGAAATTTTTTTTTGTAATGCACATGTATGAATAGATAACAAGTTCGTTAGATTTCGTGGTCCGATTGACCAAATATTTTTCAATTAATTAATCTTTATGTAAGGAATTGGTTGAGATATAAAAGCCAGTGTTACGAGCGGGATTCGAACCCACGACCTTCGGCTAAATACGCCGCTGCTCTACCTCTTGAGCTATCGTGACTTCGATCCTCTCGGATTCATTTTATTTAGCCGAAGGTCGTGGGTTCGAATTCCGCTCGTGACACTGCCTTTTTTATCTCAACCAAAACCTTCCATAAAGATTAATTAATTGAATAATAATAAGGTTTTTTACTGAACATATATAGAACATCATTACCATGGTGTATAATGTTAATTTACTTTGTTTTGTATATATTTCTTTTTGTTGTTAAATATACATTATTATTATAGAATTTGATGAATGTCTATTAAGTTTTATACCAGTAAAGGATGCAAAAAGACAAAAATAACCAGTTTGAATAGTTATACAAGTTAAATATATATTTTTAACGAACTTTATAATCAATCTTTTTACTTGACCTACACAAATATTATCGAACTTCAGTCCAAAAAAGGCAAAGTTGTTCCATAAATTTTTCATTTTTAGAAAGTAAAAATTAAAGTAGAACCGTGCTGAGATTGAGGAGAACTTTGAGGGAATTTAAATGTTTTATTCGAACAACTTGCTAGGTCCAAAATAATCTACTTTTGAGAAATTCAAGCATTACCGAACACGTAAAGCAAATTAAGGTACAGGTACAGACAAATTTCCATGACAAGATAAATCTGATCTCACTGTTCTAATATGTTTAAACTGTAAACCAAAGTTACACAAAGATAATGTTATAGGGCTTGAAGAATTTGTTTCTACCACAACGCGAGTCCTAACGACATCATGTTTAGAATTAATTAATCTTTATGCAAGGCATTGGTTGAGATAAAAAAGTCAGTGTCACGGGCGGGATTCGAACCCACGACCTTCGGCTAAATACGCCGCTCCCCTACCACTTGAGCTATCGTGACCTCGATCCACTCGGACACTAACTTCGCATCTCAACCCACTTTTCGAATTTTTTCTCCTTTTTGCCATTTTTCAAATGTCGTCTATTCGATTCTCTGCGATAAAAAAGAGGGAAAATTCAAAAGGTGGGGTTGAGATGGGTAGTTGGTGACTTCGATCCACTCGGTCATCACCTTCCCATCTCAACCCACCTTTCGAATTTTCCCTCCTTTTGTCCGAGTGAGTCGAAGTCACGATAGCTCAAGTGGTCGAGCAGCGGCCTATTTAGCCGAGGGTCGTGGGTTCGATTCCCGCTCGTGACACTGACTTTATTATCACAACCAAAATCTCATAAACATTAATGAATTGAAATAAGTTAATCGGATCACGAAATCTAATGGATTTAGAATTAATAATATATGAAAGCTGAAAGTCTAACATAAACAAAATCTTGGTTTCACGATATAGAATAATATATCTGACAAGCTGGATCTTATCTTATTTAGAAGATATTCAAACTTTAAGGTTACACCAAGATAAGCTGATAAAATATTTAAAAAAAAATTTCTATGACAGGCGAGCCAGACAACCTCAGATTTGAAATATCAAAGCTGAAAGTCTAAAATAGAACGACTCTGGGGAGTAGAGTATGGAAGAATATTTATGATAAGCTGAATTTGATCGATGTTTAAACTATAAACCAAAGTTTCACAAGCATAATGTTACGGGGCTTTTAAGGATCTTTTTCTATGACAAGGTGGATTAGAACGACCTCATATTGGACATTTGAAAGAAGAAAGTGTAAATTAGAAAAAAAATTTGAGGTATAGAGTTGGAAAAATATCTAAGAGACATCGGAATATTCAATGAAAACCAAATTTGTAGGATATGCAATAAAGAAGAATAAATGCGAAGGAATTCAAATGCTTAATGTAAACATGAACTAATTAACCAAAACACCCTGGAAAAATAATTAAACAGCAGTGCTGATACAAGAATATCAAACCCCTCACCTTCTAATATCTGACCATCATCATCTGGATAGGTCTAAAGTGAAAAATGCGTTGTCATGTTTAAGATGTAGGACTTTGAACTAATATAAATAGTAGTGAATGTTCTTAACACAAATCAACATTCAAATGATTATAAATAATAATTAATTTTTTTAAGTCCCCATACGCTCGACTAAATACGTGTATGCTGCATTGCCAAACCACCCTTAATATCGAGTTAATTCTTTACTAAAAATTGTTTTGTAGGGTTAATAAGCTGGTAAATCGGCTATGGGTTGAAAATACGTTTTATTAATCCCTCGGCGAACGAATATTTTGTAACATAAACATCACCTAATCCGAAATAATAGGCGTCAAATTTTAATCCAATCCTGCACGTTAAAGGTTTCATAGTTAAAGCTGTTAAACGAATTTATAGAAAAATATACATCGTTGTATATTTATTTTGTCATGTTTGCAGTGATTTTTCTGGTGTCTGCTGTACAGAAAGCTTCTTTCAGCTAAGTTTGACCAAAGAACCATACTACATCTTTTTAGCATAGTTTATACCCTCCCCGGGTAAAATGTTTAATAAAATTTTTGAACAAATTGAATATAAAAACACACAGGATTTTAAAATAACATTCCATAAGATTTATATAAATAATAACTTCATTAGATTTCGTGGTCCGATTGACAAAATAAAATCCTTCATTTAATTAATTTTTATGTAAGGTATGGGTTGAGATAAAAAGTCAGTGTCACGAGGGGGAATCGAACCCACGACCTTCGGCTAAATACGCCGCTGCTCTACCACTTGAGCTATCGTGACTTCGACTCACTCGGACAAAAGGAGGGAAAATTCGAAAGGTGGGTTGAGATGGGAAGGTGATGACCGAGTGGATCGAAGTCACGATAGCTCAAGTGGTAGAGCAGAAGAGTATTTAGTTGAAGGTCGTGGGTGACACTGACTTTTTTATCTCAACCCATACCTTAAATAAAAACTAAATAATAAGTTATATACTTGTTGAATTAGAGATCTATGATTTATGTAAAGTAAGTTTTATGTAAAATATAAACGGTTTTGGCTTTATACAGGGTGTGCTGTGAACAGAGAACAATCTTTTGGGAAGTGATCGAACATGCCAAATTGGATTAAAATATCTCCATTGTGCAAATTTTGATTATAAATTTTATTTCAGTTAAGTATTTCACTTTTCAGGTTACTTCAACTTTTCACAACTTTTTTTCCCTAAAGCCTAACGAATCTGATAAAATGTTAATCCTACTGTCAATTTGATTACCACCAGAATGAACATTGGAAGCCAAAGGGGATTTTTTTTTAACGTTAAACGTACAAAATGAAAAATAATTTAGAAGATAAACTTTACCAGCTGCCGGAGTTCTTATCTAAAGTTGAAGTAAACTTTTCTTGGTTCTGTAAATACTGATATATATGGCGAATCGTGAAAAGTTGGTCCTGCACGTGAGCTGTATACACGTATATTTAATTTCTCATCGCCAAAGTAAAATTAATGTTTTATTGCTAAAAAAAATGATTTTTCCGTTATAAACGGTTCGAACGAAACGAGTCATTGAAACTTTAAAATTCTATTTCAAAATAATGAAAGTAATACAAAGTCAACCAAAAATTGATCATAAGAAAAAACAAAAAACTTCAAAAATTTCAATTGCTTGAAGAGTGGCATTTGATATTAATTTCATTTTTAATAGCTATTTTGTTTTTTCTAATGTCAATCTTCTACTAAAGAGTATATTATTTTGTTACATTAAAAAATCATATGATTTTCTATGCTCTTTTCATTGTTGTAATCAAATTTACACTAGAATCAACAATTTCTGATTTATGGGGGACTATACCGAATAAAGTTGTGAAAGGCTGAAGAAACCAGAAAAGTGGAATATCACGAATACAATTGAGAATCAGACTTTCGACAATATGGACTTTTTAGGCCAATTTGTCACCTCGGACAACCTCCTGAAGTATTGACGTCTGTTCAGGATACATTGTATAAAGTTTGTGATTTGATTTGAAATATATTTGCAAGGGAAGGGTAATTTTTTAGTGATACTATGTCGAAAATATCCCGAGCCTTCTTACCAACGAGACCTAGAAAACAACAAAAATAAATATTTTTGAACTGGATTCTCCTTTGGCATTTGTTTACCTCACCGGTGTTCGGTTCCACTTACAAAATTCATAGCACATTTGAATTTTATCCAAGTCCCATTATTATTACCATTGGAAAGCTTAATTTCTCTTTCGGCATTTGTCAACAAGGATATTATTAATTATCATTATAATTAAAAAAAAACTTTACCTCGTCAATCGGTCACAGTACCAACCTCGCTCGGATTATCAGTCAAAGCTACCTACCTAATGAAGAACATAATCTGTAGCAAAATTAGTTAGAATATTTTTTAAAAGAAAAAGTTGGTATTTTGGCATTCAATTTTTGTCCAAAAAATCCATGAATACAAACTTTTCGGAAAATCATAAAAAAATAAAATAAATCAATTTAAATAATAGTAAAATAAGGATAAATCTATCTGGCTGTTTATTTCTAAATTTATTGAAAGTTTTACTCCTTGACCAATATGTCCATTCTTTCGATAGATATTTTTATAATAAAAGAGTTTATGAGAGTTTCAAATATCATGGAATCATTGAAAATACTCAATTAATTAAGGTTTTTTTTATTAAGTTGAGATAAAAAAGTCAGTTTCACGAGCGGGATTCGAACCCACGGCCTTCGGCTTGATACACCGCTACTCTACCACTTGAGCTACCGTGACTTCGATCCCTTGGGCACTATCTTCCCATCTCAACCCCACCTTTTGAATTTTCCCTCCTTATTGCTATTTTTGTCTCAACTTAGTAAAAAAAACCTTAATTAATTGAATGTTATTAACTAGCCAAGCGGACCACGAAAAATAGTGAATTTAATTGAAAATACTGTCTGGTTGTTGTTCAATTCTTTTTATATGTCAATTTTATCTACCGTTTTGATTCATTTACAAAGGCCAAGTTTCTGCCATGACGTGTGATTTGTAGGGTTTCGAACCTATGTAAAAGTTCAAGTCGTTTCAAAGAACTCAATTTTTTTTTGATTTTCCAAAAGTGCGAAAATCGAAACAATTTGTTTGAATTTTTTTATATCCCTAAAAATGTATATTGAGTGTTTTTTTTTGGGATTTAAAAAACGAATAAGGAATAATTAGTAATTAATATTAATATTACATTAATTAATATTTAATATTGATATTATATTTTTTATTTAATAAATAAACTGTTGAGCGTGGCACACCCAAAAACCGAGAAACAGGGCTTCACACTAAAAGGCAGGTCACTGTCGACCTAGGTCTACGTACCAGAGATTCATCCGACATCAGGCTCTACGAACACGCAGCATTACTGGAAATGACATAAGAAATATGATGAAACAATTTCGAGATGTTCAATTTCTTCCAGGACTTTAAGAAGGAAGCTCATTGAAAACAACCTCAGGGCCCGGCTCCCAGCTCGTGGGCCTCTTCCTACCACAGCTCAAAAAAAGGCCAGGATTCAATTCGACGGGAACATGTGAATTGAACATTGGAAGTATAGGGATTGTCTTTGCAGATGAGGTGAGAGTTGATCACAAATGTTCAGATGGGCCTAATTTAATATGAAGCCGCTCAGAGGAAGGTACACCCCTTGCTGTATGTTTCCTCAGGTGGCATTCCACGGGGGTCATTGATGTTCTGCCATTTCCCTAGACGCTCGCGCCAAATTGTTATGCGTTCTCTCTCTTCAGAACAATGCTCACAAGACATTATCGAAAAGCACGTTGTGCCATTTGCCAATCACATCGGGCACAGATTCCTGCTAATTCCAGGCCTCATAGAGCACGAATTGTGGATGACTTCCTGAATGAGGTTGGTTTGAGTGCTTAGTATGACCAGCTCGAAGTCCAGATTTGTACCCTGTAGAAAACATTTGGGATCAACTGATGAGACGATTACGGTGGCGAATCCTTGTAACAAATTAGAAAAGTTGGAAACAGCTAGTATTTATGAACGAGTAACAATCCCAGGATTTTACCAGAATTCTTTTCCAAGGAATGCGAAGAGATTTTATGTACGTGAATCGTACTAGAAGTGGAAATACTCAGTATTAAACTCAGTATTAAAAGAGACTAAAAAAGTTTTTTTTTGTGGATGTTTTTCTTCTTTATTCAATAACAGTTTTTTAGAATTTTTCTATGAACGTTTTCTTTTTAAATGTTTTACGGACGTGATTCGTACCAGACGTGGAAATACTCTCTATTAAAAGGGACAGAAAAAAGTTTTTTTTACATTTTTAATTGTNTAGTTTTCTAGAATTTTTCATGGATCATTTTCTTTTAAATGTTTTACGGACGTGATTCGTGCCAAAAGTGGAAATACTCGGTATTAAAAGGGACAAAAAAAGATTTACTTTATATATTTAATTGTTTTTGGATTTTTTTGTTCTTTATTCAATAACAGTATTTTAGAATTTTTCTAGGATCGTTTTCTTTTAAATGTTTTAATTGGACAACCAAACCTATTTTTGGTATGCAAAATATGAATAAATGATTCGTTAATTTTGTTCATCGGTGTATATAAAAACCTTGAAATACTTGCTCAAAGAACGCAGGAACTTATTTTTTAAGTTACTTAAATGATTTTTTTCCGCCGTGCTCTTTTGCCCGTTTCAAGAACTTTCATATTTTTGATCTAGTATCACTAAAAGGTTTATTGCGGATCCGTAGTCTCCCTTTTTTTAGGTTCGACAAAGTGAAAATTTTTTGTTCTCCTTTATTTTTTTATCCTTTTATTACCACTTATTCTAGTGAATAAAACTATCCATTGTTGTGTTTATGGTTAAAAAAAAAACATCTAACTCCAAACATGTTTTTGTTCAATACTATGTCAACTCATGCGATAATATAAACAAACGTATTATTAAAACAAAACCTTTAAAGGGGGGAAATAAAGCATAAACTTCAAATGGACTTATACTCTAGCCACATAGGACGGCATACCCTAACGTTTTTTCTATGGAACTTAATAATTTTTGTGTGGAAATTAATTGGTTTTCCCTTTAGTTCATAGAAATATGTAAAAACTGAAATATTTACATTTATTCATACAAACCTCTTGTATTAAAAGATCGATCGATTCGGTAACGTTAAACATCATATTTGACTCCTGAAACATGAAATAGTACATTAATCATAATGAAATTCAATGTTTCTCTATTCAATTTATTTCTTTATCAAATTTTTTTGCATACATATTCGTATAATTAAATATTCATTCTAAATAATAAGACCGAAGGAAGATTAAAGGAATAAAAATAAAATAGATAGGAATATGTTCTTGTGTATTCTTTTTCAACTTGGAAAAATGAAGATATTTTGGCTTAAGCCTGCCGTTTTTAAAAGGCCTGTGAATTTAAAATTACCCCTTTTCATTATTTAATTTTTGCTTTTACGAGTCTTATTTCTCGGTTTGAATTCTCTTATCCTCTTCTAACTTATTCAAATGTTTCTTTCGCTCTTTTTCTCTTTTTCAAGCGGATTTTACAGAAGTGCATTATAAATCTTTCAAACGTTTATTTCTGAAAAGACAGTATGAGACGTAAGCTGAGCAAGAAAGAAAAAACTGTTGTTCCTGAATGCAGAATTTTTGACTTGAGTATGTATTTACTGTTAGAAGGGACTGAAAATTTAACGTATTGCCCTAAGTCCATGCCTAATTTTTAACAGATTGTATTGTGTAGGGAAATTGTCACTTCAGAACAGAATAACGAATTGTAAATAAATCTGTGTGCGAAATTCGACATTGACTCGGGCACATATCGCGTTTTAATACTTTAGGTTTATTGCCATAGGCACAATTGCCTAACTTTATATAAGGAAGGAATGAATTTATTAGCGAGAATGTGAGAATTCAGGGACCAGATCCCTCAATCCCAGAAAAATATCAAGTAATCTGGCCTGAAAAATGGGATATGTGTTATACGTCTGTATTTATTGACTT